ACCCCCCCCCCCCCCCCCCCCCCCCCCCCCAGAAGGGAGAAGGGTTAATCCCTAGCGTCCGAAATGACGTTGAAACGGAAGGCATTTCCACTTTCTGAAGTTAAACTAAGGGTAGCATCATATTGCGTCATACATTCAGGCGCCCCTGGTGAATTTGCACCCTGTGCGGGGGCACATGCCTAAGGCCGGCCCTGATGATGAGATTCTCAATGCTTGGGAACTCTGAAGGGAATGATTTCCGCTGCTGGTGATAAATAACCTAGCGCAATGTTTCTTTGGAGGACGTCAGCCAAGGAGGTTCCACTGAATTGATCTTTCATGATGTACGAGGTCGTTTGCCTCGGGCTTCTTGCTTCGTCGTATATAGTGCAAGATCATTTGACGCTGGCGAATGGTTGCGTCTGGACGATGATTATGACCCGTTGGCTTGAATACCACGGTATTCCCATCTACCTCCTAAAGGAATGAGGAAGAAAAAATATTTCCTCATGATCTTCCTGTATTTTTATATATACGTCACACAGACAGCTTATTTACATGGCAGTGTATCAGCTAACCTGGGTGATGAGTTCCACTGCAGAGTTCACTTCTCTTCCTTCTATACTTCCAGTTCACTCAGGCATTTGCTTCTTTCTCACGTAGAAATACCCACATTGGCAGGCTTTCTTTTCTTTTTTTTTTTCCTTTGTAAGAGTATCCGAACACCACTTGTAGGATCCACGGTGGTACAAGGTGAATGTGAACTATGACATCCAAGACATGGAGGTGACTGAGTGCCAAGGACACAGAGTTTAACGGAATATCCCTCTTCTTTCTTTCTGTCCAGAAGTCTAGAGCCACTTTCGGTGTTACCTTACAAACAGCCCTCTTTTCGAAGTTCACACTTTCAGTCTTCTGAAAAAAAAAACTAAAATTCGGACTAGATTCGCCTTTCTCTTCCTTCGGTCATCTAAGTTTTGACGTTGTGATATAGAACCGGAAATCCCGCATATCACCTCTAGTGGCAAGCAAGATTGCTTCAGTCATTTCTCAGATTAAAAATTCAGAGGGAAAAATGAAATTATGATCCCACAGAGTTTTCAAGAACACGTATATACATGCAAAATAAACTACTGTACAAAACCTTATCTTGAATTAAACCAGCATAGAACTTCGCGCACAGTTCCGCGCCTAATTATAGATATCAAGTTGTACATTTAGTCTCATTTAGGATAATTGTAGCATCCAGAATGGCTGAAGGTTTCACTTACACTTCGGGTACTGTTGCATCACTACTGGAAAAAAGGCTTGAGTGTGAAGGCGGCTGCCAAACAAATCTGTGCAATCGAAGGCGAAGGTGTGGTCCACAGAAACACCGCAGCAATTTGGTTCAAACGCTTCAATGAAGGAGACACCAGCCTCGTGGACAAACCTCGCTCGGGATGACCATCTGTTGCAGACAACGAGGCCCTTCGCGCCATGGTGATGGAGCAGCCGCATGCCAGTACCTGTGAATTGTCAGCAGCACTTGGCCCTTCCAAAGACTCCATCAATTGCCACCTGCACCAACTGGACTTTGTGAGCAAGCGACCTTGAGAAGATCCCCATGAACTGACTGATGCACAGGCACAGCGATGAGTCGACATCAGCAAAAATCGTCGCTACCCGGCTTTGGTCAATCGAAAGCAGGTACTCCTTCAGCAGGACAATGCCCCAGCTCACCGAGCACGATTGACCCAAGCGAAAATCCAGGAATTGGACGTGGTTGAAGTTCTGCCACATCCAGCTTATAGCCCAGACATTGTGCCATCCGATTACGGTTTGTTCCAGTCCATGGCCACATTCCTACGCGGACAGCAGTTCGAGACATTTGACGAAGTGGAAGCCGCCTGTCGCAAGTTTTTCATCTCCAAATCCAAGGATTGGTACCGCCAGCAAATTGGACTCCTTGCAGAAAGATGGGTCACAGTCATCGAAAATGATGGGCTTTATTTCGCAGAGTAATTATGTTTTGTTGCTGTTTTATATGTCATCAAATGAAATGTTCATCTATGCACAAGAACTTTTGAGACACCCTAGTAGATATTTTGTTGATATCTTGTTTCTTAGGTCTGTATGATGAAGTACTCCAAATGAGAAAAGCATGTGAGGGATCAGTCATGAAATCCATTCTGGCAATTGGAGAGCTGGGTTCTTTGGAGAACATCTACAAAGCTGGCATGGTTTGCATGATGGCTGGATCTGATTTCATCAAGACATCAACAGGGAAGGAAGGGGTGAATGCATACCTCCCAGCAGGTATGGTCATGGTGAGGGCCATCCGGGACTTCCATCAAGTGAGTGGGCGCCTGGTGGGGCTTAAGCCTGCAGGGGGGCTGAAGACACGCAAGGATGCCCTTGATTGGATGGTCTTAGTCAAGGATGAACTTGGGAATGAATGGCTGAACTCAAGTCTCTTCCGAATTGGTGCTAGCTCCCTACTGGGAGATGTGGAAAAAACCTTGTTCCATTATGCCTATGGATATGCTCCTGCTGAACAGCAGCTTGCTCTCAGTTAGAGCTGAATGAGAGTTCCAAATTGTTGTCAAATCTCAGTGGTGTTTCTGTGTTCCATTATCTGTGTAATGCTTTTAATCCTTACCATTGTATGAATCTCCCCATATAAAGTTTCCTAGTGTCCTGTGTGACATTCTTCAAGGTTTGGGCCAAAATGCCCTGAGACATTTTTGCCCAAGTTGATACTCCAAGTTGAGGTAAGGCACTCATCTTAACTCCTTCCCCCTTTCCAAGATAAGCCCACTTTGGTGAGAATGTTTCTCACTTCCTTAGTAGCTAAAAACTATATATTTTATTGTTTTGTCTATGAAGGCATCTAACCTCTTAAATATATCCATGGAAGGGCAACCATGACAAATCTACATGCTCATTTGAAGCTCTCACTACCCAACAAGTAAAATATTCATTCTGAAACATGAGTCTTGTGAGAGGCTTATGCAGCTTGAACTGATTTCCCTTCATCCTGCTCTTACCATTGTGCTGAAAACATATACCACACTTCACATTTTCAATGCCTAAATGATCTTAAGTGCTTGGATGAGATCCCCACCTTATTAACCTTCTCCCCTGTGGATATTGCCCTAATGCTTCTACATGTCATTCATAAGAAAATCCTACATCATATTAGGAGCCTGCTTCTTAACTCTCTCTGGAGCCATTTAATCCCTTTTATTTGCTGGCCTCAAAAATTTAATAATATATACTGCACAAAGTCTTACCTTTGTCTTATCAGTCACCATTGAGTCCCAGTGTGCAATGGTGACCAGTAGGAGCAAAAGGGGTGATGCAGATATTGTATTTATCTTTTATATCCTAGAGAGATGCTATTGAAAGAGATAAAGCTGCATTCAAAGGGTGTTTGATTATTGAAAGTGTGGCATTCACATATTCAAGGAAATAAACCTGTAAGATAATTATATTCCTTGCCCCTCGTTATGTTTGTTTCGGGAAACATGGATTCAACTTATGTTGGCTATTGAGAAGCATATCAGCTTAATAGGCGGTGACACATTAACTTGTGTTAATGTGTCACTGCCTATTAGATGTTACATACTTGACCAGCAGTCTCTGCGGGGTCTTCAATCAGGTACAATATAAGAAAAAGTCAAAACGGACAATTTAAAAAAAATAAAAATTGTTTCATGGGTTGCATACCTCAAGCGATTAATAAAGTGAGTCTTAGAATTTTTGCTCTAAAGATAAAATATTAATGAACGAGCGAAAAAAAACTTTCCTCCTTAGTTGAATTTTCCACAACCTTTGATTCACGGAGTTGGACCATTTGCGTCTGAATAGCGTGAATTGCAGTTTCCTATTGCGCCTACTTTCAGGGTTGTGAATCGAAGTCCTTCCCGATCTTCAAGTGGACTTTATGTTAGACCACTGTGGCACCCCCTTCATTTAGCCATGAAGTTCCACTTGCACTGCAGGGACTAACGCACCTTTTTGATGCTACTATAAATTACAGTGACGCAGTTGGAAATTTGATTTGTAATTCATTTTGCACACTTCACGGCCTGATCTTGCGAAGAGAGGGGTAATTACTAATGGGATTTTTCCATGGAATGGAATTGCTCTACCCTCGTAGAACGTCTACCGTAGATGGACAAGTTTTGTCATGCTCTTAGAACAGGGGTGTCGAACATAAGGCCCGCGGACCGTATCCGGCCCGCGGAGGTGGTTCATCTGGCCCGCCGTCTGATCTTTAAATTTCCGCTTGGATTGACTTGGCACAAATTTCGGTGAAAAGGTATGGGTGCGGCCCGCAGGCATCTGCAGGAAAAGGAATGCGGCCCGCCGACCGACTTGAGTTTGACACCCCTGTCTTAGAATATATGGGCTGCTGCCAAATCACAGGCATGCTACTAAGACCCCAAGTTCATCCTCTACCAATAATGAAACGTATGTCACTTCTACTCCAAACCCTACTTCTATTTGAAATCAGAAACTTGGTATTCCTGCGAATATCGAATGTCCTTTCCCTCCAAGAAGTTCAATCTCTTTATTTATGACGCGGCGCGAGAAAATGGACCAACGGGGTCAAAAATATGACGTGCACTTATCAACAGATGCTTGGATTAGCCAAGATTTATGTTCTTTTAGAGCACACGTGGGTTTTACGTGGACTTCCAAAGCTTCTTTTCTCGGTACTAAAAAATGTCACCGTTGGTTTCTCGGGCCGAATTTTCGTTTCAAGGTGGTATGATTCGATACGGTATGATGACACCAGGCAAAAGAGAATCTAGGCCCATGAATGCACCTTCACTCTGGTATCCTAGTCATTCTTCATAATATCCCCATTTCCTGAAGCCGTAAGCAGTGGCGTAACTAGGTAATTTGCCGCCCGGGGCGAGTGACTGGTACTGCCGCCCCCTTGCTAATTGTTATTTTCACATGCACACGTTTTACTGGAGAATGAGATTTATTAAATATTTCTGTTATTCAGGACTGATTCTCAGCACAAATAATGTAATCAAAATCAATTCTTACAAACGACTGCAATCAAAATTCAGCCCTTGATTTACCGGCTGCAAAATCTTTAATAACTTCGCTGAAATCAATGGAAGAAGCTACTTGACGCTCGATTGACAGGATAGCAAGATTTGTAAGTCTTTCTTGAGACATTGTAGATCGCAGGTAAGACTTAATCTGCTTCATTTTGCTGAAAGATGACGTTTGCCGCCCTCTGAACTGAGGGCGGCAAACGGGAAAAAATCGCAAAATTGCCAAAACTGGCATTTTTCCAGTGGGCGGCAAAATGGGCAAAATGAAAAAAATTTCCGAAATTTTGCTTCTTTGAAATAGCGATTTGAAGAAATTAGTTGAAGTTCATGGAATTTTATTGACCCTCAAATCATTCCATGGATGCATGAAGTCTAATCTCGAAATGCTTCGAAGTGCCTCTTATCGAAGATTTGAATTGCCTTGATCTGTTTGACTCGGCTCGTGCAAGCCCGGGATTTTTCCGTGTTGCTGCGTACCAACACGGATCCGCGACAATAGTTTCAAAATCGGCGCGGATTTTACCCGTACACTCGTGGAACGGGACCCTATCTACTGTATGCCATGTTACGCGGATGCGCCCTTTCCCGGATTACGGTTTCCATATCCATACCTAAATGTTAAAAAAAGTCCCTAACCGCACGGGAAAATTCCCCTCGAGCACGCTTCGATCAGGCCTGCTTCAGTATAATCGGTCTCATTCTTCAAAGAAGTGAGAATAGTTCCAGCAGGAAAAAAAGGTCCGCGTTGGTGCACAGTCGCTCTGACGAGACTTTTCTTTTCCCACTTATAGGTGATTAAAACCAGGAAAAAACTGTTGTCTCCAAACAGATTTGTCAAGCTTCATACGGGATGGTGCAAAAGTCCTGTCTATTTCAAGATCGTGTCGAGATCCAAATCATTTATGTAGACCAAAAACAGAAGCGGTCCAAGGACCGAGCCTTGAGGGACACTGCTTGCGACTCCGACCTCCTTCGACGCTTTCCCATTTATCATCACTCGTTGCTCTCTTCCCGTCAGCAAATAACTGATCCACTCGCTCGTCCTACCCTGGATCCCGTACGCCTTCAGTTTTACCCGCAACATCTTATGAGGAGCGGCTGCGAAAGCTTTCGCGAAATCTAAATAGACGATGTCCACGGGATTCCCCTTATCCCTCTCTTCCGTCGCCCAGTCGTAGAATTTGAGCAAATTCGTCCTCCACGTACCTTGGTGTCGAAGACAAGCCGAGGTCGGGATGCCCGTCAGAGTTGGATGATGTGGCGCTACTACAACTCGTGGAAGCCTATCCCCGCACGACCACTCGCGACATGGCCACCGTTCTCGGGTGCTCCCACTCCACCATCGAACACCGCCTGTCCACGATCGGGAAGGTCTCAAAGCTCGGGCGTTGGATACCCCATGCTTTGACACGGAAGGACCTCGACCAACGTTCCGACACCTGTGCACTTCTCCTCTCCCGCCGACAGCGCTTCGATTGGCTCGACGACGCCGTCACGGGGGATGAGAAGTGGGTGATGTACGCGAACCATACCCGCAAGCGTCAGTGGGTAGACGCTGATGAAGAGCCGCAGCCGGAGCCGAAAGTTGACCTGCACCCCCGCAAGGTGATTCTCTCCGTATGGTGGGACGTGAAAGGCGTCGTTGTAGGCGGCTCCGACGTGATTTAACGTTAATGATTATCATGAAGAGATCGCCAGCGTGTTCGAGGTTATAATGACTCCGTTGACTCCTTAAATATACAATTACTTTATTGTGACAACCAGCTTTGAAAGAGGTCAATAATAATGAGAAGCGGCAAGTGGATATGGGATCGAAATTAAAAATTCTGTTCCCTTAAACGCTTATTAGGCAATAGATACTCAACGAGCAATACCTGAATATCAACCAGAGTGGTATGGGTGGGGTGACAGACAGCATACGATCTCCAGCACTGACGTCAAGGGTCCACTCAATATCCCGCGTCTTCTCTAAGGCTTCTCCTTACTATCCTCCAATTCACTTCCTTGTCCGGCTCACTTGACATACCCGACCCCACCCGCGACTCTCCCGCGCGACCCTTTTATTCCGTTATGCTGGACATGCGCAGTATCTTTTACGGTCATTTCATCATCTTTATAAAAGTACCTCCTACATCGTGATGTTCGAGCTGCTTCCTCCCAACACCACCATCACGGCGGCCTAATACTGCGACCAACTCGAGAGATTAAGTCAGAAATACTCAACGGCTCGGCCGGGACGTGACAATGTGCTGTTCCTCCACGACGATGCCCGGTCGCATACAGCAAAGATGACTCGGCTCAAACTCCTTGCCCTCGGATGGGATATTCTGCCGCACCCACCGTACTCCCCGGGTCTTGTTCCGTCGGACTACAATCTTTTCCACGCCCTGCAGAACCGCCTCAAAGAGAAAAAGTTCCATGACCAGAAAGATCTCGAATGCTACTTGCGACAGTTCTTCGAGTCTCAGCCCCCATCGTTCTACCACGGC